GCTTTGGCTAAGGAGAGGCGGGAAGCAATGTGATAGGTTCTGCTTTCTCCTTTTGCAAAGAAATGGGGCTATTGCTAAAACCAGAAGCAAATCTGATCCCGCACGGTTTTGAGAGCAGTCAGCTGCATTCTGAAGCAGGCAAAAATGTAAACAGAGCCGTGTAACTCTAGAGTCCGGAAGAGCAGGCACAGATTTCACAATGGGAGAAACAGTGGGCCCTGGGCCAAGAAAAATGAAACGTTAGCCACAGCCTTTAAACAGAGCCATGTAAAAGCAGAGTGCATATTTGCTTAACACATGCACACAACACCTCTTCTGTGTCCGGCTCTGTCAGAACCACCCTGGATAAAACAGGCAACCCCAAAACGGCTTTGGGGCTAGTACTGCAGACTCCATCTTCAGTGTGCAAGGACTGTTCTGCTTAACAGGCAGACCTTTCTTTCTCTCTTTTTTTTTCTCGGCCCAAGTTAATTACAAAGTATGATTGTGAAAATAAAATAAATGAACCCATTCTGCCCATCCTCGTATCGGAATTCTATCATACGAGCTGCCAATTGGTTTTCTAATCCTCTCCTTCAATATCTGCCGTTAATTTGTTCGCTGTTTCAAGAACTTGAGGACTGTCAGCAAAATACATGATGCATTACAAAACTTATAATTGGAAATAAAAACATCTGAAGCTCTTCTGACAGGGTAGACATGAAGTACCGCAGTGCTGATCAGAACAAGGAACCACGAGCAACCTCGCAGCTATTTGTGTGCAAACACAATTATAAATGCCGCAGACAGAGGAATCGACACTTAACTCCCACTTGGAAAAATGCTGAGAAAATTACATCTAAATGAATGAATGAACTCCACGTGTTTATGACAGGAACTGAGGGGAGAGAATGGGGGGGCAATTCCTGCACACATCTCCTCGGAAAGCGCAGCTCCACCCCGCCTTTCCCTCCGCGGCAGTGTCAGCCTGCACTGCTGGGCCTGCTTCGGTTTCCCTGCTGCAGCAGTTCAGGCGCTTCCGCCACGGCTAGCAAATCTGACAAATTGCACTCAGGTCCACTAGGACGCGATGAAAAGGTGCTCTTTGTTCCTGGCCTTTCGGTCAGCCCGGAGATGGAATTCCTGGACATCGGAAAGCCCACTCCTATTCACTGTGCGCCGCGGGACAGCAGCCCCGCGGTTCCCTGTGGAGGAGAGCGGGGCAGGCGGGGCTGAACAGTACAATTGCTCTCCCTGTCCCTGCAGCCCGCGCTTTTTACTTTCTGCAGCAGAGCCTCTCATCAATTAGTATGTGAATTTTTTTTTTCTACGGAGCATCTTAGCATCAAAAGAGCAACGGCAACCATTAAAAGCAGAGGCCGGTCAGTCTTTAACCTGCCAAGTCCCACAAGCAAGTTTCCTGAAAGCTGCTTGTAGTTTCACCTCGGCGATGGATTCAGCAGCCAAGAATAAGAGCAGCTTCCAAACTCCACCTGCCCTTCACTCTGGCCAGACAAGCCGTTACTGTGGTAGCCAAAGCTTGACAGGTTTGACTCTTGTACCCTCTCTGCAGCCATCCCCGAGCGACCAGAGAAAAACATCACAGAGCTGAGTGTGTGCCAGAAAGAGGAGCCGGGAGCGGCCTGGGGGCAGGGGAGGAACACCAGGGACAGTGGGCCTGGCTCTTGGAGCGGAGCCCACAGCCCGAGGACACGAGACCCTCCTGTGTGTCCCCCAGAGAGAGGGGCGTGTCACAGGAGGTAAGCAGATCTATGGAAGAACTATTCAAGGGAGATGCCTGATCCTTGGGAGATTTCCCCGGAATGCTTGGAAGAAGGAACTCTAGGAAACGGCACAGCCAAGGCCAGGGGATCCGGAAGTGGAGGCCCACCCGCTCCTCTCCTTCCCGACCCAGTGGGACCCCACTCAGGCCTCTTCCGGTAAGGCCATGGCCCGGCCTCCCAGTCCTCCTCCTTGGGCCCTGATCGTGCCCCAGCCCTGCCAGCCGCACACAGAGGAGCTCCCAATGTGTGGTGCGTTATTTCCTCCATATGTGTTCCTGTTCTGTGGTCAGTCAGGAACCGGCACTTTAATTCTCTCTAATCGCTGTGATGCCGTTATAAACTGCGAATCTGGACTAATATTTCTTCTCTGAAGCTAAACTAAGTCAATGTCTACATTTTATTTATTTATTTATTGGAAGTCAAATCCAGGGCCCTACACATGCTAAGCAGGTGTTCTGCTCCTTAGTCTTTAAGCACATGAGTCACAGGTATTTTCTTCGACTGATGGCGGTTATTTTTGAGAACCTTTAACAAGGTGCAAATGCTTAGTACCAAGAATCCTATTCTGCCTTTTAGTGAAAATTACTCAAAATTAACAACTCAGAACTTAAAAGTTTGTTCAGAATGCTACTAGAAAAGTATGGTAATCAAATGACTCAGTTTACAAGTTCAACTTTGGAATATCTACTGGGCTCTGAAAGCAGGCGTTCTCCTGTAGCCAAATCTCAGGGACTGAAGAAAGCTAAATCCCAAAGGAGAGAACACTGGTAGCTATGACATGCAGTCATCCAAACTTTACTTCTACTCAAGTTCTAAGTAATGCAAGAGGTTAAAAACTACACTGTGTTGAAGTTGTAGAAAGCACGCATGCCCACAAGGACATTTTCCTGGAAGATTTGAGCTGTGGTGTGTGTGTGTAAGTGGGTGGCCATGAAAAACATTCATGAGGCCAGACCCCATTCCTGCAGAGAAGTTCAGGGACTCAGCCCCCGACAGTTCCTCAGCAGAAGCCCAGCCCAGGCCAGAACCCAGCCCAACTCTGGCCCCAAAGTCTCCCTGTGAAGCCTGATGAAAGGGTAAAGTGGACCAGAAACATCACCACTCCAGAGGAGTGGTCTGGAGCCCTTATCAGATGCTTCCTCTAGTTCAGCGGTGGTGAACCTATGGCACGCACGCTGCAGCAGGCTGTTTGTGTCACTGAAGCTCTAAAAGGTTCGCTACCACTGCATGCCACAGCCTGGGTAACTCTTATAACCCCCAGGAGTGGGAGCAATGCCACTGCTTCCCATTTTAAGGATGAGAAAGTAGAGGCATGGCGATGTTAAGAAACCTGCCCAAGGTCCTGGGGCTGAGCAGTAAGATCCAAACAACTGAGATCTCCAAAACACAGGGTGAAATGGAAACTTCCCTTTCATCAACTTATGTGTTCTCCACAAAAACACCAAGTACCAACGATCCCTCATCGTAAAAGCGGACCAGCAGGAAAGAGCTCAAGTTCTGTGGAAATTCCAAAGCACATTACACCGCACAACAACTTCAGGATGATGTTTCAGGAGACTAATTAATGCCGCCTATTTTCTTGACTTTTCCATCCTCTGCAATATTGAAATATAAATCTGACTGACATCTGTGCAGTTCTGATATAAACTTTATCTGCAGTCCGTCGGGGTCACACCCATTGCAGCACATATCTGAGTTTGCTTTCTATTTCTTGGGCCTCTGCAGGCTTTGCCTCAAAACCCCAGGTCACCTCCTCCTCCTGCACAGCCAGCCTAGCAAAACCCTCCTCCCAACAGGTTCACATCAGCTCAGAATATGGGGGATTCCAGCAGCTCTCAGTCCAGGGCTCCCAGAGTCCTGCTCCTTTGGAAACAGCCTAAAGGGCCAGGGCCTCTGAAGATTTTTCAAATACATCTCAGGTTACTGAAGACCTGATCCTGACCTGCAAGGAGGGTTTCTGTGGCAGGCACAGGCCATTCCTGGATTATGTGCCTGTCAAGAAGTGCTGGACTGAGCAGCCGAAAGTGCCCGGTGTCCCCTGCCCTGTTCCCGGAAGTGCTGACTCCACCCTCCAGCACAGTCTGAGACCCACTTTCAGGCGACAGTCTGACAGGACTAATTTCTGCTGTCCGTTCTCTTGCCCTTTACCATAAAAAAATAAATCAAAGGCATTAATAAGCTGGATAGAAAGTGGATCTGCAGACTGTAAGCTGATTACACCACCACCCCACCACCCACAACCTCTCAGCTGTCCATCACCCCTGAGCCAGACCTGCTTGGGTCAAATCAAGATGCTACCACCTACTCTGCTATTTCCTGAGCAGACACTTGACCTTCCTGTGCCTGCGTTTCCTTATGTGCCCCAGAACCACAATGCTGCCTATCTCTGAAGGGATTTCGAAGATTAAGTGAGTAATAGATACAATGAGTTTAGAACAACACATGGCACATGGTCTTTCCTACAGAGCTCACAATCATTACCAGGTTGACTTTGAACAGAAATGCTTTTCCAGCACTTCCTGTACCCACTCATCGGTCCTTCTGGATACCACCCAAGAAAGCTTAAAAAAGCCCCAAGATCACCCACAGTGTCTCAGCTTTGTACTTCAGAGGACAAAGGGAACTGTTGAGTGCAGAGGTCGACCTGGATTCATGGCTGCTGCCCTCTCCCGGCCCTAATGCAGCTCCAGGTTAGCCCTGCTCAGGACAGATGCGGAGCCCTCAGGAGGGGTCCTAGAATCCCTGGATGTGGATGAGCAAGTGTCCCAGTGCTGGCTCCGGGGTTCAGAGGCTCACCCAAGTCCACCTAAGTATGCAGTGGCAGAGACAAGAGCAGAAAACGGGTCAGCATTACTCTGCAGCGAGTGACCAGGCACCTCTCCGACAGCTTTGCGAACATCTCCTGTTTATAACCCTTTGACAGCCCGGAAAGCAGCAGGCCATGGGCCACCCACAGCAGGCAGAATGCTCAGTGACCTTCCCAGACTCTTCTCTGTCGACAGACACACGAGTGGCCTCAGTCCCAGTACAGACACACCTACCAAAACCCTGCACCATGGATCTTGACTGCACAAATCTGCTGCATGATGGGAATAAATGCTGTGCTGTGCAGCACTGCCAGGGTCTGTTCTGTTGGAGACCGGCAGTGAGCTTCCCCTCCATCCAAGCCATTTTCACTGAAAGCACCAACGCCCAAATCACACTTTCCTGGTGCCCAGCTGCAGCACGAACACTTACCAAGGTGCCCCGTATATCCTGAACCCCTTCACTGTGACCTCCGAATCTTGCAAGTAAATACTGTTCGTCAGGAGGGACTGAACATTGTCAAAGTCCTCTGGTTTCAATTTGGACACGGAGGGGAAACGGTAGTAGTCCTGCTTAACAAGGTCGGCCATGAATTCCTTATCGAATGTCAGTTCATGGTTCCCGGCAATCACTATTTTATATTCATACGGCAGGTTTCCTGAAATAAGAAAAAAAGAGCAGCAATTAGCACGTTCATTTCCCATCACGAAGTACAGCAGCCGAGACTGATGAGCAGCCGGCTCACTCAGACGAAATAGCTCACACATTCCGTGAGATTTCCATGTGAACCACAATGCATTAGTCCTTTACAATGACACAAAATGAAAACAGGCAGGAGATGGGGAGCTGCTGAGAAGCCAAAAAGGTACGGAGAAGACACTCCGCTTTCTAGCTCTCCTGTACTGTACGGACTCACGGACGGACCACACAGTGATGAATCTGCACTTCCTATCTGGGGAAAAGCACTTTAATCGCGACCCTTAAAAGATGGCCTGGATTCGATTTGATCCTCAAAAAATAAGCCAACCAACTATTATTAATGACCCCGAGACAGGCTGTATTTTCAATATTTCTTTCATGCAAAACACAGGACCGAGCCAAGCACTCCACAATTAGCACCTAGGAGGGGACCACATGCTGCAATTTCCTATTGCAAGTCTAATTTTAAGTGTATCTTTCTGCTTGTGAATAAAAAGAACATTATTAAAGGCCCCTCATTGGTAGGCTAACTTTCCTCCCATTGGGAAGGGAAGAAAACTGTAAAGCTTAACCCCCTTTTAATATTTATGGTATGGAAATGTGAGTTCTCGGTGTGTGCTTTTTATGCAAAAGTTTCCCGATCGAAGTGAGATAATTCTGGGAAGCAGAATGAAAGCTATAAAGAAAAACCCAAACAGCAGACTTCTGCATAGATTTATAATGTTTGAATAAAGTACAGATCATACATATTAATAACTCACTGCTACGCTATAAGAACCAAAATCCAAAGGGAGCTAGGACCGGGCAGCTGTCCCCATCCTGCGATTAATGCCCTTTTCTCTGCTCTGTCACTACCCATCCCTCAAGCCTCAGTGTTGGGCCCCCGCTCGTTTTATTTATTTTGGGGGGTGGGGGTGGAGAGCAAGACAGGTAGAACAATGGCACCTACAATTCCAGCTCCCAGACTCCTGGATCCAATGCAGAATTAATGTTTCCTGCTAGTCCAGGAAGAATTTAAGTTACCCTTAGCAGGAAATTGGATCCACTTGTTGTAAGAATTGGTTCTTACCAGCAAGCTAGAGTCAGTGATTTAATTAAGGAGGCTTAGTGGGAAAGAGAAAGAGAACCTGCGGGGAGGTGGGGAAGGGCAGCTTCCGTCCTGGTCCTCTTGGGGTTTAGCGAGACACGCCCTCAAGGTTCCACGACGAAGTCCTCCCTACCTCAGTGGCTTCTAAGACTGAGGTTATGTTGTGCATTGTCACAGTTTATCTTTGGCTTTTAAGTTTTTGGCTTCTAACAGTAATGGAATTGTCCAGATAACATGTAAGTTAATGAGGAGGCTTCAGAAAGATGAAAGCAGTCTCATAAAAAATAACACTGCAGGAGATCGAACCGGAAATGTTGAGTCCAAGCATCAGCGGGTACGCTGGATTACTACCACACACTTCCGTGCGACCAGGCCTTGGCCACGGCTATTTGCAAGGCTGTGCCCAAGCACTCATCCCACACAAGAAGCCTGTCAGATGCACGTTTATGCACATCTAGCTGCTAGCAGTGCGCTGTTTGCCTCGCTCTACTTGGATAATATGGTGGTGATGCTCTGCACGATTCCCGGACTTGCTGTGCAGGTGGAAGGTGGACTAACAAGGCAACACTTTCCCAGCACCACACATGCTGGAATCTGTGAGGCCAGAACCCTTGGATCATTGCTCTGTGATCCGACAGCTTGAGGATGCACCCAGAGAGTTACCTGGGGCCCCATAGCCACAGCAGGCTGGTCCCGCCTGCCTGATCCCCGAGCCGCCCAGGCCATGCCAGCACACTATGACCACCTGGCCCTTCCTCCTGGTGCCAGGGCCACAGCACACCATCCTGTCCACACCCCTGCCCTCATTTTATAGCTATGGTGGCCAATAGGGGACACCAGGACACAGGGCAAAGGAAGAAGTACATTTTCCCTTTCAGAGGAGGAGGAGCAGGGCTGGGGATTTAGCTCAGTGGTTCTGCCGCCTGCCTCACAAGTGCAAGAACCCAAGTGCGATCCCAGGTACAAAAAGAAAAAAACAAAAAGTAGCTTGAACGGAGGAGGAGAAGAGGAGGAGGAGGAGAGGAAAGTACGGCAAAGTAAATCTTCCTCAGGAACACAACAGCCTTGGTGTCTTTTAAAGAGGCAGCGCAGGGAAGTAGTCACCAACACGAACCTCAGGACCGTGACAGTATTTACACTCATGCGCGGAGTCCCACAGTGGCTGCCCATCCCATCTCCATTACCTGTGTTATGAGATCGTCTGACATATTTTCTTTTTTGCTGAGCTGACCTTTCATCTCTAATCTGCCAACCTTTATGTTTTATATGAAAAGTCTAAGCAGGGCAGCTGACAAATCTCCTGTTCTTGATGGCATTTTCATTTTTTTCCAGGCTAGATTAATTTGGAAGGCTCTGCAGTCAAGCTTCCGGCTCCTTGGTATTCCGGCAGCATCTCTTTTAAATTGTCAGACAAAAAGGTGCCGCTTTTATCCATTTTATTCAGATCAAGCCACGGAAGTCGACCTGCTCGAATAAAAACCCAGGACGATAGACAGCGATTGTAATACGGGAAAAAGCCCTCTCCGAGCAAGTTCAACTCTACCGACCTAGCAGCCCCTCTCTCCCAGGACAGAACTCCGCGCTACCGCTGAGGGCAAGAGCGGGGACACGAAGGCAAGCACCAGCAGCACGTCAGGGGCTGTGTGCACATCCACAAAGTGTCTCCGGAAGGACACAATGCAAGTGTGAGTAATGACACACAGCTTCCTCTCTACTTGTATCTGTACAGTAAGAGGTCATTTAAAGAAAGCTACAGGGTAAATAGCGGCATGAGGAATTCACAGACACAGCCAAGCCTTGAGGCAAGCAAGAGAATGAATCAAACGTGGGAGCGGGGGGCCAAGAGGAGCCACCAGACACCAAAAGCGGCCTTGCCTCTGTCGGTCTGTGCTTGGGAGTGTCCCATAGAGACACTCGGGAAATCAACCCCAACTGGGTTCTCACCGCCATTCGACAGTACTCGCCACCCCCCCCACCGCAAAGCAGCCACCAAAGTTCGCTGCTGGGACCCCACTCCACCGCGGGCCCCCTCAGACCCACACTGTGGGTGCACACAGCGTCTGCCCACGCAGGCGACAGGGAGCAAGGGTCTTCTCCCCTCAAGGCTTCCCTGGGCCTGCTGCTTCTCACCTCCATGATGCGCCCATTTCTCAGTCTCTTCTTCCCCCAGACCCCTCTGCTCTCTGGAGCTCTCTCTACCATGGACGCCTCCTCCGTCCCTGCCTGCAGGGAATGAGAACAGGCCAGCTCCGCAGGCACACCGGCCTCACGCCCCTGGAGTCAGCCTTGGCCTGGCTGCTGCTCTGCCACACTTCCTCATTTCCTTCTAGACTTCTTGGGAAGAGGGGCCCGGGAGCTCACAGCCCACAGATGGTTTATGGTGGGGTGTGCAACTGAGTTTTGCTTTTAAAAAACTGAGCTGACATTTGAGACTGAAGAGATAGCACGAGAAATTGTGGGTTGCCAGCTCTCAGAAAATCAAAAGATCAGGCGACCGCTGACTTCCTCTCTCCAACAGACCTCCGCACGCCTCGCTGTGCTCCTGCCCAGCCTGGTCCTGTGTTGCGACCACATCTGTTTCGTGATGGGCTACTATGTTAGCAGATGCAACCACTTAGGGGCCCAGGTTCGCGCATAATTTACCCAGCGCAATTCCATTCTTTCTCTGTGGATCACACCGCCACGGGACACCACTCAGAGCATCGATCCCGGGGACTCCCGGACCCTCCTTCCCCCAGGCCCTTCCTTCCTCTCGGGTACTCCCTGTCCACTCCTCCTTGCGCTGTATGGATATCACCTGCTGCCTCCTGCCATACCCGCCGCGTAGCTATTCTTGGTGAGTCAAAGCATAAACGGTCCAGGGAGTGGGGCTCTTCTGTGTGTGAGCGGCGTGGCCCTGGATGGACCCCCGCCTCCTACAGCTCGGAGAGGGCAGCGGAGACAGGACCAGCACCCGCTGGCGGCCGCGCAGGGACTAAGACGAAGCTGACGGCCCCACCCGAAGCTCTGCAGCCTCCAGCTTGCTCTCCGCCCCCGACTGTCCCCCAGACCGGAAGGCAGGGGCAGCGGCTTGTGCTTCTTCGACTCAAACACGGGGCCGGGCCGGTGCTGTCACAGGAGGCACGCAGTCGACACCTGCTGAATGAGCCCCGGAGCGGCCCACGAGTTCCGGAACCGGCTGTTCATCTCGGTCCATGACAACCACCGTGTGAGCCTTCGTCACTCCTTCCTCCGAGGTCCCGCCCTCCTGAAGCACCCTATTCCAAACCCCGATACCCAGTGCAGCCCATGAACCTCCAACAGCCTTTCCGAAATGACAGCTGTAAGCGGGAGACAGTAATGGCCCTACCTCCAAGGTTCGGTGCAAGAAAACGTGACCCAGGCCCTCAAGAACCTGCGTGGCCCGGAGGCTCCAACAGGCACTACCACGAAACTGCGGTTTTGGTGATGATCATGACTGTGCTTTCCAACTACCACCCAAACAATCATCCGTTCGGCCACCGATTCCCAAGTCCAGCATCACTATTCTTGAAGAAAGAAGGAAAGACAAATGGCCTTGGACGTTTCCTGTGGCGGAATCCACTGGACCCAATGTGTTCCTCGAGCAATGGAACCAGTGGGGCCCCAGCCAGCCGGGTCTGGGGGCAAACAGCCGCCAGCCTCACACAAAGTCCTGTGCCAAGTGACCCCACTGGCACAGCGCGTCCTGGGTACCCCCTTTCTTTCCTCCTTCGCTTGTCCAGACACCCAGCTCCTCCAGCTGCACTGGAGGACAGAGCTTGTGCCCGGCCCACCTGCCATTCACAATGATGCAGGTGTTTCTCCAGAGGACAGCACTCACTCGCTGCGATCTCACTGGGTTGGCTACTCTT